ATGCAAAACTTGTACTGGGGATCAAAAAGAGGCTGTCACAACATATACTGCCAAGAACAAGAAAATAATAATAAAAAGTGCTTTAGAATGATTCCTTGGTAAAATTTGATGGTTTAGAATAAAAAGAAGTATTCTTTGAAAAACACAGCTTCCCAAAATTGAGAAAAAATGCAAATAGCCCTCTACCTACTAAGGAAATTGAATTGGTAATTAAAAAGCCCTCTACAAAGAAAGCTCCAGGTCCAGATGGCTGCACTTTGACATCTATCAAATGCTTAAGAATTTTGGGGCCAGTGCTGTGGCATAGCAGGTAAAGCTGTCGCCTGCAGTGTCAGCATCCCATTTGGGCACCAGTTGGAGTCCTGGCTGCTCCACTTGTGATCCAGCTCTCTGCTATGACCTGGGAAAGAAGGAGATGGCCCAAGTCCTTGGGCCCCTGTACCCACGTGAGAGACCTGGAAGAAACTCCTGGCTCCTGGTTTCGGATTGGTGCAGCTCTGGCCGTTACAGCCAATTGGGGAGTGAACCAGCGGATGGAAGACCTCTCTCTCTCTCTCTCTCTCTGCCTTTCAAGTAAATAAATAAATCTTTGGAAAAAAAAAGAATTTTGAAATAGATATCTGAATATCAAGCTTAAGAAGTTTGATGAAAATGAAGACATCAACCCAAAGGTAAGTTGAAAAAAGGAAATAAAAAAAGCATAAATCAATTAAATTAGAAATGAACAATAGAAAAACTAAAAACTCAATATAGCACTTTGAAAAGATTAATGTTATATATTTCTGATAAGACTAAGCAATAAAAACAGGAAAATAACTTGCAACTGTCAGGAATTATAATGGGAATATTATTATAGTCCCTAAAGTTGTTAAAAAGATAGCAAGGTACTATCACAAAAAAAATTAGACCAACATATTTGACAACTTAGATATAGGGAGCATCTTCCTTGAATGACATAGGTACCAAAACTAACACAAGAAGAAAAGAAGAAGAAATTGAGTTTAAGAAATTACATTTGTGATTAGAACTTTCTGCACATGTACTAAAAAATTTAGGTTCAGATGGCTTGAATACTCTTGATATTTAAAGGAAAGATAATACCAAATTTTATAAATTTGTTCATAAATTAGGGAAAAAATTATATTTTCTAACTCATTTTATGAGACCAGACTATCTATGAATAATAGCAAAGCCTGAAAAAGATATTACAAATAAGATAATTATAGACCAGAAATTGCATAGGAACATGGATACAAAAACACTTATAATAATTATAATTATATAATTACAACATAATTATGTAATATAATTGAATCTTATAACATATCAAAAGAGTAATATTGCATGACCAGTGTTTTTATTTAATGTTTATAAAGTCATCAATTAAATTTACCACCTTAACAGAATAAAGGAGAAAAGCCATGTGAATATCTCTATAAACACTGACAGAACATATGACAAAATTCAACACCCATTCATGATAATTGCAGTGTTTGATAAAGGGCATCTGTGAGAAAGCTAAGCTCACATCATGCTTAGTATAGCAATTTTGACACCTTTACCTCAAGATCAGAATCAAGATAAGGATGTCTGCTGTAACCAATTTTATTCAGTGTTGTACTTAAGATCCTGGCCAGCACAAGGAAGATGAAGAATAAATAAAAAGTATAAGAACTGGAAAAGAAGAAGCAAAATTGCCTGTATTTGCGATGACTTTATTGTATACATAAAAATGTGTAAGAAATCTTTAAAAAAAAAACAATAGGAGTAATAAGTAAATACATCCAGGTCATGTACATAGAAAATTAGTTGTATTTCTATAGCCTATCAAGGAACAATTGGAAAATGTGTAAACATATGTTCAACAATCAGAAAACATAAAACATTAATTTGACAAATACTGTGCAAGACTTGTACAGTAACACCTACAAAAAGTTGATAAGAAAAATATAGTAAGACCTAAGTAAAGTGCAGGTATAAGAGCATTCCCTCCTTACCCAGAGCTTCACTTTCTGGGACTGCGGTACTCAAGATCAATCCAGGTCTGAAAATATCAAGTGGAAGCGTTCAGAAATAAGCAAGTTTTAGGTTGCCAGTCATTTTGGGTAGCGTGATGAGATCTTGTGTATCCTGCTTGTGAATCACCCTTCCATCCACGGTATCCTCACTGTCCACTCTGCCCTGTTGGTGACTCAGCACCCAACTTAGTCACCAACTTGACCATCATGATATCAGAGTATTAGTGTTGAAGTAACTTGCACTTTATAAAAAATATTATTTATTTGAAAGACAGAGACACATACTCAGACAGACATACACACATACACACAGAGATAACCTGTTGCTGCTTCATTCCCCAAATGTCCACATCAGCCACAGGTGAGCCAGGCCGATGCTGTGAGCTGGGAACTCAATCTAGGTCTCTCCTAGGGGTGGCGAGGAACCAGCTACTTGAGCCATCGCTTGCTGCCTCCCAGGGCATTCATTAGCAGGAAGTTGGAATTGGGAGTGGAGCTGGGCCTTGAATCCAGCATTTTGATTTGTATGTAGGCATCCCGAGTGGCACGTTTACTGAGAATAGAAATACCCTTCACAAGTTAAGTAAATTGTATTATACAATAAGACGTTTTGAGAGAGGGAGAGAGGAAAAGAGAGAGTGGGAACACTTACATAATTTTATTATAGCATATTCTTAGAATTATTCCTTATTGGTTATTGTTGCTAATCTCTTATCGTGTGTAATTTATAGATTAATCTTTATCATATGTATGCATGAATGTATATGAAAAAACATAGTACATATAGAGTCTATTGTTGTCTGTGATTTCAGACATCCACTGAAGATTTGGGAACCTAACTTCCACAGATAAGGGGATAATATTGTGCCATATTTATGATTTCAAAGCCTCTTCCTGTAAGATGTCAGTTATCCTCAAATTAATTAATAGATTCAACAAAATCACAATCCAAATTACAGTCAAAACTTTTTTTTTACAGCAATTGAGAAGTATTTATTTTATTTTTTTTGCAAGCAGAGTGGACAGTGAGAGAGACAGAGAGAAAGGTCTTCCTTTGCTGTTGGTTCACCCTCCAATGGTTGCTGTGGCCAGCGCGCTACGGCCGGCGTACCGCGCTGATCCGAAGCTGGGAGCCAGGTGCTTCTCTTGGTCTCCTATGCAGGTGCAGGGCCCGAGCACTTGGGCCATCCTCCACTGCACTCCTGGGCCACAGCAGAGAGCTGGACTGGAAAAGGGGCAACCGGGACAGAATCTGGTGCCCTGACTGGACGAGAACCCGGTGTGCCGGTGCCGCAAGGCATAGGATTAGCCTAGTGAGCCGCGGCACTGGCCGAGAAGTATTTTCTAAAATTCTTATGCCAAAGACCTAAGTAGTTAAAACAATCTTAAAAAAGAAAAATAAAGTTAATGGTTTTATACTACTTCCTTTAAAGATTTACTACAAAGCTACAATCCTAAGAATGGTGGGTGGTAATGTAAAAACAGAAGAGGAATTGGAATTTTCTTTAAAAAAAATAAAGGTCAAGATACTGTTGTTACCATGTGAAGGCAGTCACAGACATCATGTGAATGAATAGGGTTGGCTGTATTCCAGTAAGATGTTATTTACAAAAACCGGCAGTGGGCTGACTCTGATCCTATCGTTTGCTGAGTCCTGGAATAGACTAATAGAATGTATTAGAAAGTATAGAAATAGCCCTACACTTATAAGGATAGCTTTTGGCAAAGGGGCTACTAAACAGCTGAATGGGGAAGAAGAGTGTCTAATCAATAAGTGGTTCTGGGATAACTGGATAACTGGAAAAAAATGAACCTGGAACCCCCACCTGAAAAGTCCAGCAAAATTAATTTGAATGTTAAGGCAAAGATTAAAATATTGTTAAGAGAAGCACTGGAGAATATTTTTATTTTCTTGGGAGCAGGCAAGGATTTCTGAGTACACTAAAATGCTAACAAAAATTGATAAATTATACTTTATGAAACACAAAAACTACTCATGAAATGATATTTTAGGTATGAACAGTCAAATGGCATAATAAAAAACAGTTTGTACTAGATAAATCTGATTCAGGATTTTTATTTAGAATAGATAAGGTACTCCAAAAAATAAATGTCAAGAGACAAATAACCCAATAAAAATGAACAGTTGCCTCGAGCACACACCTCAACCAAAAATGAATAAATAGCCAATAAGAATATACTTTTGGGGGCAGTGTTGGCATATTTTGAAGTGTATGGGGGGATAGTTCATTTAGGAAGAGGTTTGGCTTTGCTTTAGTCTTTATTTGGAATTATCCATGATTTAAAGAGGGTGAGTGGGTCCCACATTGACAGGAGTGTGGTGGTTTGAAAGCATCAATTTGTCTGGACTGAACTATATTTCCTATATTCCTTCTTTGTTCTGGTTAGGGTGGGCATCAGGAGAGCTTGCGCATGATGTTGTGTTGGGAAACAAAGCAGGAGCGTTGTTGGATGAGTGGAGGGTTGGTGCAGGGGCACTAGACGCTTGTGCATGTTGATGCTTTGCTGTTGGCTCAGTTCCTTGGCAGGAATCAGCAGCGGCTGGGCCTGCACTTGCTCCACCCTCCAGTATCTGTGTCCTGTACCGGTGTGTGTTTAGCTCCATGATGAAGTAGACCATTTGCCTCTGGAGAGCTTCCTTGTCACTAAACTTGCAGGTATTGAGAGAAAATAACATGGGCACTCATTGGTTTTCATGGGATTTAGCTCATGTTCATGGGTTCTGCTCTAGCATGAGACAAACAGCAGCCTTACAGACACAAGTTAAGGAGAACTCACAATTGTGTTAAGTAAAACATAGATATACATTCATATATATTTACCGATATCTCTATATATGCATATTTGTCTCTGTACATATATATCTATATCTATATCTATATCTATATCTATATCTATATATCACCTGCTATCTCATTTTCTTTCTACCTGTGTGTCTATAGATGTTTGGCCTAACATAATTATGCATGTGATCTAGAGGTACTACTTCTCTGAATGAACCCTGGTAGATAAAGAATTGCTAGGTGAATGGGATGCTGGAACCTCTACAGTTTCCGGAGGAATTCTTTTTCCAAGTTTCCCCATCTCAGCTCTGTCATCTAATGCCTTCTGTAGAACCAACTGGAGTGTTTGCCCCCGCTTCCACCTAAAGGAGCCAACAAAAAAGTAGATGATGGGATTGGTGCTGCTGTTAATACCAGACAGGATAAACAAAGTCCAGGTGAGATTTTGTAAATTCAAGGAGTCATTCTGAATGGAGAACAAGACAAACTGGAGGATGCCAAGGGGAAGGCCGCAGAGGAGGAAGACCAGCACTGACAGCAGGATGGTGGCGTAGAGCCTGGTCAGTGGCATACGCCGGGAGCTGCAGAACAACCTGAACAGCAGAGCCAAGCTGGACCCGGAGAGAACCACGCATAAGACAATCGTCCAACCAGCAATAATGGAATTAAATGTTTCACACCAATAATGATTAGATTTCTCAAAGCGGATGCCACAGTTGTACCCTCCCAGGAAGCTCAGCAGCAAGGACAGGGCCCAGAGCAGGGCACAGATGGCAGCCGACAGGTGTCTGGGGCGGTGGTAGTGGTGCCAGATGGGCCACACGATAGACAGGCAGCGCTCGGTGCTGATGGCACTGAGCATGCTCAGGCCCACGATGTAGGGAAAGGCTGTCAGAGTGAGCAAGAATCTGGGGAGGTAGACGTAAATGGACTGCAAAAGTTGGATGAGTTTCAGCAGGGAATGCATAATGTGGCTGCAGAGGAAGAGGAAGTCGGCCGCAGCCAGGTTGAGGATGTAGATGGAGAAGGTGTTTCTGCGCATGCGGAAACCCAGGAGCCAGAGCACAGCCGCATTTCCGGCCAGCCCAACCAGGGCGATGATGAGGTCCACCAAGGCCAAGATCAGGATCTTCACTTTGAAAGGCCATTGAGGAAGGGCCTGATTGCTTGCGTTAGTTGGCGTGAGTTCTGTCTCCCAGGTTGAGATGGTTGTATTCATGTGCAGGAAGCCTCCATTTGTGCTCCTAGAAACAGAAGCAAGAGTTGAGCACCTGTTGTATGGTCACTGAGGCTCAGTACCAGGAAGCAGTGTGGGAATTACTGTCCCTGCATCACAGGAGAGTGAAATAGGGGCTGGCAGAGACTAGGAAACGTGTGAAATCTGGGGAGTCCTGGACCTTGGAAACAAACTCAGTTCTCAGTGGATGCAAATATGGGACTGACTTTTTGGTCATGCAGGTGTCTCTAATGACTTAGGAACATTCTGTAGTCTGATAACAACACCTGTGCCCAGCCATTCCATATCCAGAGGCTGTGTCGTGTCACCCAAATTTCTTGAGGAAGGAAGAGAGAGGTCTAGGATAGGATGTGAGGGGCAGGAGAGGCTATGGACTCAGGTGTTGAGTGTTCTGGGTCAGAAATTTTCTCACAGGTGCAGGAATTCAGAGACACAGGTGATCCCAGGCCATGCTCATATGTGAGAGCAGCCCATTCATGGAGGAAGGAGAAGACCACACTTTAGGGACATGAGACAAATGGGTCCTCTTGCTAGGATGGGTGTGAAGATGGCTGGGCTGTGTGGAGTAGAAATGGCTCAGTGTGTCTGTCCCTGTGGAGAGGGGCCTGCTTCACACTCCCTGTGCCTAGTTCGGTGTGCAGCACTCTGTATTCTCAACATTTATCTAACCAGTGAATGTAAGAATGAAGAATCTAACAGTAGTGACAGTTTGAGTTAAATGGCAAAATGAAAATGAAAGAGCAAGTACTCTGGAACATGAATGTGTAATGAGATGAAGCACGTTTTACTCAATTCTTTGAGTGAATAACTAGTGTGTTGTTGGGAGAATTTCTTACATGTACCCCAAGAACTAAAGTTGACTGCTGAAGTGCCTTTAAAGTGAGGGCTGTGCTGCGCCCATGTAAGTGTTTGGGTATGCCCTAGGGTTTCAGGTGAGGAGAAGGAGTAAGCGAGAGTGAGATCTGAGTGCCACAGAGAAGAGGTTTTCTATCCCTGAAGGACTTGTAATGGGCACTGTGGGATATAAACCTGCTCCATTCCCTATCTCAGGAGCTCTTCCACAGAATTCCCTTTGCTGATGGAAGCCTTTGTGTGAGAGTAGTCTATGAAGGGTAGTAGAAGCACTTGTAATATAAAGAGAGAAACTCAAACAGCTTTTAACTGGAGAAAGAGGACTGGCTCACATGTGAGTGAATAATAGTAGGGGGTTGGGAGTGTACCAGGTTTTTCAAGAACCTATGACTTAAGAATCAGTATTTTTCCCATTTCAGAGGATGGAATTGGAGTACAACAAGGAAGGCTGATTTTTTCTGGTCTTGCATCATGTGGATTTGACCCCAGCAGGGCTGCCTCAGGGTCCAATGTCTTGCCCAGCCCTTTGGACCCAACAAGAGTATGTGTTGCTTGCACCTGGGATGGAGAAAAAGGAGAGGAGCAATTCTCAGCCAAATCCAACTTGGCAGCCAAATTTGTGGGTTACAAAATCTGGCAGAAGCAAACACCAGAAAAAGAGGAAGGAATCCAATCAGAGACAAAAGACAGATGGGTGGAAGCCAATTAGGAGGAGAAGCCAGAATCCAGGGTCCCCTTCCTGCCCCACAAATGCAGCCATTTCTCTGGATTCTAGAGAATTTATAGGGGCAAAAGGCCTGCCAGGGGACAGGGGACTGTCCTCCGCCGTGGGTGGGTGCAGACTCAATCAGAAGAGAATGCATCCTTCCTGTGCTCACTTAGAGAAACAAGCTCCTGCAGCCCTGGCTGGTCAGAAGTGGAAAACCAGAACCTCACAGCACAGCTACAGCTTATACATCTACTTTTAGGCTGTGACGTATTTGTCTCATCAAACCTCGAGCTCCACAGAAGCTACGTCACACCTGCGTTGTCTGTGATTGCACCCCAGCACTTAGTATGTGCTCCTGAGAAGCATCTGTTTTTAATATCTTATTCAACACAATAAGAAACTTTGCCTTAGACTCAAAGGGATTTTCCTGAGGTCACAACACAAAGAGCAGACCCACTACCAGCTGATGAGTTCCTGGAGCTCTGTCTGAGGGTCACCCACTGCTTTTCTTCACTTGTGTTATTTGTTATTTCTGAGGTGCTTTGGAAAAATTTTCCAATGAGCACAGGATATGAAAGGTAATTGGGATTGTGGAAAGTGCTAATTTCCCACAATATCCATCTGTGAAAACAGAAAGGAACTTCCAGCTCAGTCTCCCTTGAAGCTGGACGATACCATGTGGTTATGTGCTAGCTGATGGGAGGTGAGCAGAAGTGCTGCGACCAACTCCTCTATCACGGAGTTAGTACGGAAAGCGTAGCTTCCCCTCCTGTCTTTCTCCTCCTAGTGGAGAGATGGAGATCAACTGCAAAATGATTCAATGACACTTTGATAGAGAAAAACTCAGGTAGGATGATAAAATGTAGTGTGAAGGACAGTCTCATTTACCATGAGGATTTCCTTCCTGTCCTTTCTTACCCTGTTTCATATCCTAAGAGGGTGGCTTCTATGTACGTCTTTGGTGGGATACTTTTCCTTCTGGTTCTGGTTGACTGGTGAATTGGAGATGTTGCCAGGAGATTGGAGGGTGGGAGGGGAATGGTTTAGTTGCATTTCCTTACTGTCTGCCTGTGCAGCTAAGGATTGCAATGGCAGTGCTGGCACATCTCCCTTGTCTCCCTGCTGCTGCTGTAGCTATGGCTGCTCTTTCATGGTCCCTATGGCTATGCTGCTTGTGCCTTTAAGCCTGGGGTGGAAATATCCTTCACACCTGTTCACTTTGCAGTGCTTCACCAGGCAGTCCCAGTTTCCCTGAACCTTGCCCATCTTTGCAACTAGTCCATCCCTTCATGAACTCAACCTTAATTATTTCCAGATTGGGCTAACTGTTTTTTCCTGTTATCTTTCCAGACACAGTTACAGGAACAACATTGAGAGGCAAGTAAAGCAATGAAACCCTGGGTTTAGAGCAGTTCAGCTCTGGGAAGCTGTGCCTGCAGGTGACCTTGCTTCTGAAATGAACGTAAGAATCAGCAATCTCTTCATGATAGAAGATTTGAATGTTTGGGACACGGAGGACAATGTAGGAGATAGAGTAAAAAGAAGAAAGGTGTTAGACCCCACTGGGAACTCTTTCAGGTGGGGCTGCCAGCATCCTTATTTCCAGAAGGGAGCTTCTGTCTCCTGCCTTTTCCTGAAGGAAGCTGCTTTCCCCTCTGCATATACAACCCAAGGTAGAAACACAGTGATGTGAATGGACAGAGAAAACCATAAATGACTTTGCAAATAAGACAAGTCTTGGTATATACCCTTACCTTTCCTCCATTCTTCTGTCCGAAGGTGGAGAGCTGTGCTGAGGGGAGAGAGCCCTTCTGAAATGGTGACCCGTCTTTTCTCCCTAAATCAGGAGAAACACACAGGGGCTGGAGTGAAAGCTGGTGACTGAGTGAGGCTTATTAAAGTGGTGGATAGTGATTTCCGGTATGGGGGCTGTGAGCAAATCAGAGGCCAGAGCCATCATATGAGACATGATCTCTCACTGAGATGGTCCTCAGTATGTTCCCTGTTCCGCTCACATATCAGTGTCTCCTATCCCACCTCATCCGGAGTACTTCCCTGAAGTAGCTGCTGTTTTAAAATTACCTTATGCCAAATATGTGTCCATGAAGGACATCAAGCAATGTGATTCTGCATTGTGGGGCTTTATAAATAAAGTAGAAAGCGTGTCACAGGGTCTTTCAAGGCTCACAATGGCCTGACCTCACTTTTCTTTTTCACAGTAGTAACACATTCATGGATAAACTTTCATTCTGATTGACAGGGCAGGGTGTCCTGAGTGACGGTCCCCTTATCCAGAGGCCGCACCCTCTATACTTTCCCTTCTTGTTCACTTTGTTATTATTGGCTTGCAGAGTAAACATATTTCTGTCTTGTTTTATTATTACTAACAAGTATAACAATTGACTTCCTTTATCAAATGTAAAGAGTTCAGCTCACATAGTCATTCCTTTTCCTTCTAGTTCACTGAATTTGTTGCTTCTTCCCTTTAAAAACATATTTTTATTAATTTGCATTACTTTTAAAAAAGATTTATTTATTTATTTGAAAGTCAGAGTTACAGAGAGGCAGAAAGAGAGAGAAAGAGAGAGCGAAAGAGAGAGAGAGAGAGAGAGAGAGAGAGATATTTTCCATTCGCTGATTCACAACCCCAGATGGCTGCAACGGCGGGAGCTGTGCTGGTCTGAAGCCAAGAGCCAGGAGCTTCTTCTGGGTCTCCCATGTGGGTGCAGGTACCCAGACTTGGGCCTTCTTCTACTGCTTTTACAGGCCATAGCATAGAGCTGAATCAGAAGTGAAGCAGCTGGGTACCAAACCAGCGCCCATATGGGATGCTGGCACTGCAGGTGGCATTTTTACCAGCTATGTCACAGCACCAGCCCCAATGTGTATTACTTTATGCTTTTTGTGTGTGGGAGTGTAGAATATATATTTCAATACATGTATTCTGGTCAAGGTATTACTGATCATATTAAGTAATATCTTCTATGTGCCTCATGCCACAACTAAAGCTTGTGGTCTTTTAAAAGGCTAAGAGACAGACAGAGAGGGAAAGACAGAGAGAAGGTCTTCTATCCGATGATTCACTCTCCAAATGGCCTCAGTGGCTGGGGCTGAGCCAGGCCGAAGCCAGGAAGCAGGAGCTCCACCTGTGTCTCTTATGTGGGCCATCATCTGCTGCTTTCCCAGCGTGTTATCAGGAAGATGGATCTGAAGTGCCGCAGCCAGAACTCAAACCAGTGCTCCAATGTGGCATGCTGGTGTTATAAACAGTAGCTTAACGCACTGTACCACAACAGGCCCCTTTTGGTGTTTTATAATGTGCTATTTGAATTAGGAGCTATTTTAAATATTTAGAAAAGTTCTTCAGTGGGTTAATTCTGCAAATACTTGGAAATACTTGTTTCGAATTGATTGTGTTCCCTTCAAATTCATTTATTGAAACCCCACATCCAACATGTAAGAATTAGACAGTATTTGGCTAGAAGTCTAAAAAAAGGTGATTAAGAAAAGGATGGTAGTGTGGGCCTTAATTCCGTATGAAGATGTCCTTAAAAGAAAAGAAAATTAGAACTTAGACCTACACAGGGAAGATCATGTGAAGACACAAAGAGAATGAAGCATAATCTCTAAACCAAGGACAGATAGCTCACAAGAAACCAACCATGCCAACACTTGGTCTCCAGAGTTGTCAGAAAATAAATTTTTATTATTTGAGCCAACCAACCTATAGTATAAATTTTTGTTAAAGATTTCTTTATTTATTTGAAAGGCAGAGTTACAGAGAGACAGAGGCAGAGGCAGAGAGAGAGAGAGAGAGAGGTCGGTCTTCCATCTGCTGGTTCACTTTCCAGATGGCTGCAACCGCCAGAGTTGCACTGATCCAAAGCCAGGAGCCAGGAGCCAGGAGCTTATTCTGGGTCTCCCACATGGGTGCAGGGGCCCACAGACTTAGGCCATCTTCTACTGCTTTCCCAGGCCATAGCAGAGAGCTGGATTGGAAGTAGAGCAGCCGGGACTCAAACTGGCGCCCATTTGGGATGCAAACATGGCAGGGAGTGGCTTTACCCACTATGCCACAGAGCCAGCCCCCTGGTACATTGTTATTACAGCACTTTATGCTCCAGGGATTGTTCCAGGCATTGAAACTTCAGTGTGAACAAACTGGACCATAACCTTTTAGAACTTATCTTTGAAAGACCTGAATGAGCATCCTCAAAGAGTAAATAGAGATGAAAAAGAGAACATGTTTGAAGGGGTCTCCATGTGTTAGAAGGCTGGAGGGGTAGTTGGATTCAACACACATGAGAAAGAAAGTGGATCAAAAGTGTCATAACTAGACAGAAATGCACATGCAAGTTCCATGTTCAGTCAAGGGTACATGTCAAAATAGCAGGGAAGACACGAATGGGAACAACTATTGGGGAAGAAATAAGACATGGAGAGTATGGTGTTCCAGCCTCCCAAGTATGAGTTGTTGCACAGTAAGTGTCAATAGAAGCTCAGGGGGTGAGAGACTGACTTATGGCTTTTTTTTGACAGGCAGATTTAGACAGTGAGAGAGGGAGAGAGAGAGAGAGAGGGAGAGAGAGAGAGAGAGAGAGAGAGAGAGAGAAAGAGAGAAAGGTCTTTCTTTTTCTGTTGGTTCGCCCCCCAAGTGGCCGCTATGGCTGGTGAGTTGCACCGATCTGAAGCCAGGAGCCAGGTGCTTCCTCCTGGTCTCCCATGCGGGTGCAGGGCCCAAGGACCTGGGCCATCCTCCACTGCACTCCCGGGCCACAGCAGAGAGCTGGACTGGAAGAGGAGCAATCGAGACAGAATCCGGTGCCCCAACTGGGACTAGAACCCAGGGTGCCGGCACCGCAGGTGGAGGATTAACCTAGTGAGCCGCGGTGCTGCCCAACTTATGGCTTTGTAATGTGTAATGTGTAATGTGTAATGTGAGTCACTGCTGATCCTGTTGGAAAGGTCACAAAGGAGTTGCCTAACATGTGGAACAGGTGTTAAGTGAGAATGGCAGGGGCTATGAGTATTCTCCTGTATACCATAGATGTCAACACTATCTTACATAAGGAAGCAGTTAAAACAGGTGGTTATATCTAATTTTATTGCATAAACATTGCATAAATAATCAACAGTGATTGTACATAAAAACAGCTGAAGAAATGAGAGAAAATAATCCCTGATTATATCTTATGTAAAAGAAGAGTAATGGAGTTGAATAAAATATGGCATGAAGCCTGAATAAGCACATTGCAGTACTGAGTCATATATAAGAAAGTCAATAAATTAAAAATTCTAGAATCACACCCGATACATATGAGAGTTTAATATATGATAATGTTAACATACCAAAGTAGTGGGTGAAACAGACTGTTCAATGACTGGGATTGGGTCAACAGAGTGGCCATTTAAAATAAATTTTCCATGATATTGGGATTAATTCCAATATAATAAATATATCAAAATAATGAAAATATAATGGAGAAACCATTGGGAAATTGTTTCAAGCCAGAATGTGATATACTCAAAACTATATGTCAGAAAATTCAAAAGACATTAAAGAAAGACTGGGCCAGTATTGTGGCATAGCAGGTAAGGCCACCTCTAGTGACACTGGCATCCCATAGAGGCACTGATTTGAGTCCTGGCTGATCCATTTCTGATCCAGCTCTCTGCTATTGCATCTGGGAAAGCAGTGAAAGATGGCCCAGCTGCTTGGTCCTCTCACCCACGTGGAGCCTGGAAGAAGCTCCTGGCTCCTGGCTTCAGTCTGGCTCAGTCTCCACTGAGGGAGACTGAGTGTGGCCATTTGGGGAGTGAACCAGAAGATGGAAGAACTCTCTCTCTCTCTGTCTCTCCCTCTCTGTTTTCAAAACTAGATGCTAAAACAAAGTAACTAAATTCAATGACCTAACCAGGAAAGGATGATACAGATGAAAATACATGAGAGCTGAGATAGTGTTGCTCCTAGGCTTCCTATCCGAGTCACGGCACCATTATGTCGCTCCCCCTCTTCGCGGAGGAACGACACAGGACCCTGCGCTGTTCTTTTGTCTGCTCGGCCCTCCCCGGGTTTGCTGCTGGTTCTTCCCAGGTTGGCTACCGTCCCTCCCACCTCCGTGGAAGGGCGGTTCCCCCTGCCACTTTCCCCACTTCCGCGGGGGAGCGGCACACCGCCGGCCGGCTCTCTCGGGGGCTGCTCAGGTGTTCCCCTTAGATGTTCCTGGTGCATGTTGTCTCTCTCCTCCTTTATAGTCCTCTTCCACCAATCCCAACTCTGCTACCCACACGCCGAGTACGCTGCTCTCCTCCAATCAGGAGCAGGATCAGCTCCTGCAGTTCATCACTCAAGTTGGCGAGAGGCAGCTGCGTAGAAGTTGTTACTCCCTTCTCAGCACCATATTGTGGGAGAGCAGATGCATAGAATAAGTCTTAATTCCAGTAACAGTCTAGTCCGAGTTGCTCCCCACAAGATAGCAGGCAAGAACAAGGCGTGGAAATGGAGTGAATGGGTACAAAATTATGATTTGTCAATCAAAAATACCTTAGTAATACAAACAAATGACAAAAAATCCAAAATAACATTAGAAAGAAATGAGATGCAACTCATTGGTGTGAAAAAATTCAATTTAAAAAAATTATTATTTTGTATTTAAGGAATGCAACTTCATGTATTTAACATATATAGATTTGGGAACATGAGGGTTCTTAACGCCCTACTTCTCTCCCATCCAGACTCTCACTCTTCTTTCTCCAAAAAATGTCACTTTTGTTAGGTTTGTCTATCTCAACAGAACTAGGATTGTTTCATTCTATATTTTGCCTTTTAAATTTAAAAAATTTTGCCTTTTATAAAGAAAAAATATGCTAAAATTTTAGAAAGCCTGCCAGAAGAAAGAAAACACTATCTGCTCTTAAGCTTTTTAATTTTAAAATATTTCAAATAACAGAGACAAACAGAGTTCAAGGAGCACACATATATTTTATCAATTATAAAATTGCACAATATACACCTCATATGTAAATATTATATGTGTATATATATACACACATACATATCATTTTTCTTGAAAGGAGAGATCGATATATTAGTACTACGAAACACAGGATTCAAGACAAAGATCATAAAGTAAGGAAAGAATATATCAGTTTGTAAGGGGTATAATTCAGTGAAGACAATATTTTTTCATTTTTAGAAAGCTTTTATTTAATAAATATAAATTTCATAAGTACAGCTTTTGGAATATAGCAATTCTTCCCCCCGTACCCACCCTGCCATCCCCACTCCTGTCCCACCTCCTACTTCCTCTCCCATCTCATTTTTCATTAAGATTCATTTTAAGGAAAGCTTTTATTTAATAAATATAAATTTCATAAGTGCAACTTTTGGATTATAGCAGTTCTTCCCCCCATACTCGCCCTCCCAACCCCAAACTGTCCCACCTCCTCCCCCCCTCCAATCCCATTCTTCATTAAGATTCATCTTTTTAGAAAATTTTATTTAATAAATATAAATTTCATAGGTACAGCTTTTGGATTATAGTGATTCTTCCTCCCATACCCACTCCTCACCCCCAAA